AAAAAAAAAAAACACTTATGTTTTGTGTCCATCCCCAAAAAAGAGAAGGTTTTACCCATTGGGTGAAATTGGAGTGTAGCGTAAATAGTTGAGGACCACTTGTATTTCCGCGTTTGGTGAAGATAACGAAGAATGATTTTATCTTTTTGTTAGGGTATGTTTGTTTTGAACTTAAAAATAATTGAAAATTATACTAGTTATTTGATAATTAGTATTTAATTTAAGATTAATAATATATAGAAATATATAATTTTTAAGTATATTGCACAATGAACGACAATCTCCTCTCATCCCTTATTTTACTACATCCGTATATTATGGAATTTAAATTTAGAATCTTTTATTTTTAGTGAAAGAAAATTACTACTAAATTATTTAAGTTGTTGGCATAGAAATATTTTTTTAAATATTTTAATCAATTATTTTTTAAAAATTATAGACTATAATAATTAGCTAAACCAATTATGGAAATGAAATGTTTGGAGTTACTAAATTTTCTTTTATCCAAACTCTTAATCTCAATAAAGCTAATGATTTTATTAGTTAAAAAAATATTATTTTGATGCACTTATCAGAGTTTAAATTTCATATTAACTCCACCATAGAATTAAAATCTTAGATTTTTTTTTATAAAAAAATTCTTAGAAATAAATTTAAATTGTATAGTGTGTAAATAATGTAAATAAAAAGATAAGCTCTAATTATGACGCAAATAAGGAAAGAATACCTGTATTAATAGTAAGGACGACCAGCTCACCATGAGTTGGCAGCACAATATATCCATATTAGCGGTATTATAAGTAAAAAGATAGGTCCTGTAAGACCCGTCCGCTCGGTTAAACCGATATTCAACTTTGGGTTAGTATCGTTCATTTTTAATAGGTTGCATGTTTAAATTTTATAATTTTTTTTTAATTAATTTTACAAATAATTACAAATTGTTAAAAAAAAAAGATAAGCTCGGTAAGAACGAACTTCACCAAATGGTTAGATGGATCGCATGTCTCATTGAGGAAGGTGAAATATTCTTCAGATTTAAAGATCGAATCTCAATTGCTAACAATTAATAAGACTAACATATTAATCATTGGTATTGTAAAAAATAAATAAATGAAATAAGATCCATAAAAATAAAGATAAGCTCTATTTATGTTTTTGATAATAAAGAAATAATATCTATATCACTTTAAGATATTAGAGTATTGTAATTATCATATTTAGAATTAATTTGAGATATAATCTTAATCTTTTATGTTTATTATTTTTAAGGAGCAAAATGGAGATTTAACATAAAAATAATCGAGCGATAAAATGATTAAAAAAAAAAAAAGAACATTCCATTGGATTCCCATAACCTTGCTCAATCCATCTCATCATCAAATTCAACTTCAATCTCAATTAATCTCTCCTACGAAAAGTAACAACACCGAGTCAGCGTGTCTATCAGTTTAATTACTCGTATAGATTACTTTTGTCCACATGGCACCATCTTCGTCGTCCACTTGTTCCCCTT